CATGTTTAATAAAAACTCCCAAAGCACACATTTTAAAGCCTCCCACTGCATTGGTAATGACGTAGGGTTCAGTCAATGATCTGCCACACAATATGAAATGGTTGCAGAGATGTCCGCAACACGTATAGAATGTTTCAATAAATGTATTCAGACGCCAGGACCATGCAGTCGTAGCAAACTCTGGAAAGAGACAAGTAAACAGGAGCATGGTCAGACGAAACAAAGTTACATTTGAACGAACGTGGATGTAAGTTCAGGGCATACTGAAACGAAAAAAGTCAATTCTGTGACATACGTCATGAGAGAGAGTAAAACCTGAAATCTTTATCTGTCGGATGAAGGATTCGCCATACATCTACCAAATGGTGTTGTCAGGAAACGGTTTAAGGTGGTTAAAGCAAGATAAATAAATTGTACTCTTGCCTGTAGAAGAGTCTAGTTTGGGATCTTTCTGTTTGCCTGATGAAGGGACCTTATGGTTCCGAAACTTTGCATGGAAATGCTGCACCATTTAATAAATTGCCTGGACGTTATATTGGAGTGCGAGTGACTTTTTCCTGATCTCTAGTTTGGGATCCAGGACACAATTAAAGTCACCGGCTATAAAAACACCAATTTGATCCTGATTAGGGATGTAGAAATTAGCAAAGGTAACCTTTCTCCCTGCAATGAGAAGCTTAAGGAACAAAAACCATCCCTCCAGATGAGCTTTCATTTCCAGCAATTGGAAGGCAATAGATTTATGTATCACTATAGATACCCCTTTCGGTTTAGAACCCGCAAAGGTACTTTGAAACCAGGCAGGAAAATTATTTGTTTCTAAGGACGGGTATGTGATTGGTCCGGAAGTGCGTCTCCTGGAACAAAAGTAACACTCCTCTTCCATTTGTGGAGATCCTAAAATATCTGAGAACATTTGATAGGAATATTGAGTCCAGGAGCATTGAAGGAGCAGAGAGGGTAAGAGACCCCATGTGAACAATCATCAGTGCAGGCAATTCAAATGTTGAAGATATGTGGTGACATTTGAAAAAAACAAACAAAACCTCGGAGAGGGGGAAGGGGAAAAAAAAGGAAGGGTAAGGGGGGGGGGGAACAATGGGGCAGGGGAGCACAACAGAAATTAAATCACTAAATTGACGCAAATCCTGCCACAAATCCATAGAGGACTCTCCCGTCTCCACTCGTGACAATAACATCAAGCGGAGAGGAGAACCTCTAGGTAGCCCTATGTGTGGAAGGCGCTGGATAGGCATGAGGTTCCAACGCCCAATCAACTCCCATATATAAAAATCTTAGGATGACCATAAAAAGCCCCAAGGGGGAGCAGTACAATCTTACATAGCATGACATAGAAAACAATACAAACTGAGATCTAATTCTTGTAGCCAAGCATAAAAAATGGTAAAAAGATTAGGCAATAGCTTAAAGGGGTTCTAAACCCTCCGTTTTTTTGCCTAGGCAAAAAGTTTAAAAAGAAAAATCCACTTTAACAGCGGTTTACACTTAACCTGTTTTCGTTGCGCGCTGCCGCCCGAGAATCTGAAACTGCTCAAGCGGCCGCAAAGCATCTTGGGGCGGGCGCATGCGCAATTCAGATTTTTGGGCGGGAGACAAGCAGAGACGCAAGGCAAGTCTAGTCTATGGACGCGTGCACCCGCACGCAGACACCACTGGATCGGAAGTGCCTGCAAGCAGAGAGGAGTAAGGGCTGGAGGGACAGATGAAAACATCAGGAAAGAAGAGGAAGATCGGATTAAGAAACCTCATTTAAGGTAAGTGCTAACATTAACATTGGGGGGAGGGAAAAACATTTTTGACTTTAATGTCATTTTAACCCATTGCAATTTTAGAGTTCCATAGCAAGTATGAGCAATATCTATGAGAAATGGCAATAAAAAAAATATCTATAACCTAAATAACAAAAAGAAAAAAAAAAGACTTTTTTTGTATCGTATTTTCTTTAATGTGATTTATGGTGTAAGCTTATTTTTGTTAATGGTTTTGGATACACTTTTTTCTTTATTGTAAAATGAATTAAAAAAAGTTTAAATATCAAGTTCAAAAAAGAAAAGTGGATTTGCCCTTAAACATGTTTGCATTTGCTTTTAGCTAAATAACATATTTGTCAAGATCTTCCATGGTAGTACTGCTTGCATTGCACGAACAGGACAAGACAACAATGCTTTATTAAACTAGAGAGGCCTCAACAGAAGGGAAAATGGCTGGAAAATTCAACTTTTTTGAACTGGAGTTATGTGATGTATAGCACATTCAAGTGGAAAGCAAATCCATTTAAAGATGTGTTATTGAATTTATTTCACGGTCATATGATAACTCTTAGGATAAATTTGGACCAACCTGTTTACCGTTACAGACCACACTGTTTTCAGACCGGTAGTTCTAGCTGCCCAAACAGTTCTAATGATTTGTTACCTACTTTTCTGAATTCTTCAAAATGATTACAATTGATTTCTGTCTGAGTTTTCTTCCAATAAAGATCAGTGTTCATGGGCAAAAGTGCTACAAATGAGACCTGTGGAAAACCGCAAGAATCTAAATATTTTATAAAGTTTCCGTTAAAGTTTAATTCCACCGAATAATCCAAAGTGGCATACATTGTTGTCTCCTGCTGAGAAGTTACCAGCCTTTATAGTCCTTGTGGTCTGCTGTCATTCATGGATTGTGGTTATTGCAGAGTCCCCCCTTTTATTTCTCCATCCCCATGGAAATAGCAGGGTGTAAATTTGTGACACGAAGAACAAGAAAAACTATGGCATCTGAAAGGGTGGTGTTGGTCCAACTAATAATCACCAGTGTGAAATACCTCAGAACGGTACATTTCCTCTGTAGGGTTTGGAATTCTCTTGAGGTGTTCATAATCTTTTATGAATATAGTGCACTTGAGTTAATTAAAGCTGGCCTTAACCATCATCTGACATGTGCATTAGCACTTTAGACAGATTTATACTAGTTCTCCTGATCGGCATAAAAAGTTGCAGGAATAGGACACAAAATTTATACTTTGTAAAAGAATTGTCATTGTATCTTACCAAGCAACACATATTTTATCCGGCACACTACAAATCAAGTTGATTTGTTGGCGCTAAGGTTCACTTACATTGTTTCATTTAAAACTTCTCATTTTATTTTGCAAGAAATTTGAATATTGTCAGTTAAAGGAACAAGTCTCTTAAATGTTACTATACCGTAGTTAATGTATTTTCTCTAAATTTCTAAATGTAATTCTGTACATTAATTTTGAGAAGCGTGCCCAGCCTGTAGTATTTAGCTATTAAAGCTGAGCCTTGTGCCAGTGCGCTAGTGTGTTGGGCTTGGTGACCATCAATAATGAGCGACCTGAAATAAAGCCTATCCACCTCAGTTTACTCAAGGAATGACTATAGGAACTTTAGAATATTAACAAAGATAACAGGATGTCACACACCATGCTGTTGCAAAGTGGGGCACCCAGCATTAAGGATTTATGCAAATACCCAGATTTCTTGAAGTCAGTGTGTGGGCAGTTTCACCCCCTACCCCCACCACCATGCCACACATACTGATAGATATCTCTGGTGCTTGCATTTTGAGGTGTGTGCCGGTGTGGGCTTGTCATTTCTCCAGTATGAAGAAAAAATTAATAGCAGGTTAGGGGTCCTGAAATCCACTGGAGGAACGTAGGATTCTGAAGTATTTGCCTATAAAGGCATCCTGTGTTAATAAGTAAGGCAAATGCAATACAATACATGTGTAAAAAGCTTAGTAAACCATAGCAACCACAATCCAGTTTTCTCTAGTCAGATGACACAAAAATAGAAATGTGGTCATTATTCATTGCTACACTGCATTGTCATTGTAGTTGGTATTGTTTTTTTTTTTCAATAAGCCCTTGTGTCGGTTTCTTTTTTTTCTATGCATCAGTAGATTGTACACTGTTGGCCATAAATGAATGCAGTAAGTTTGGCATTTAAGGTCTCCTTCACAGTCATTAAGGGCCACCAATAAACTGCATCTATGCAGCTGGGATCACAGGTGTTTGCAGTCAGCCATAGGAAATATTTGAATATTTGACGGGACGTCATCTATGCAGAGCTCCATCTCTCCATTCATAAACTGAGCAGATAATACATTTTTACTATGTCCCCAGTCATGAGTGAAGAGGAAGTAATGTGTAGCGCTTCCTGTTTATTCATAACCGAGGAGATCATAAGTGTTTACTGTGTCCCCAGTTATGAATGAACAGGAAGCACTACACATCACTATCTCCTCAGGAACAAAGACCGAAATGATCAACACTGATTACTCTGATGTTTTTCTCTACAGGGAAGGAATATTTGCTGAACCTCTGCTCGGCATCTTGAAGCCCTCCGCCTCCCGCCTGTCGCAGGAGAGTTACAGCGTCTCTCTCCTCAGTGCCAGCTTCATGATTGTCTCTCCTCAGATCTGAGCTGCTCCTGCCAATACAGATGGGGAGAGCAGTGGGGATACCGGAGGGAGCACAGAGGCGATCATGATGCTAGCACCCAGATAATGATGCTAGCACCCAGTGAGGAGAGAGCTGCAGAGGGGGTGGAGGGTTAGTTGGCGGGAGTCTGATTTTAAATGAATAGCTGCCATCAGCAGATTGTCATCCGCTGATGACAGCTATTCATTTACAAAGAACAGTCAGGGGGACCCTTCTGCTATAAGCTTCTGGTTGCTGAAGATTATATGAGCGTATAGCAGAAGGGTGAATGCAGCTGATCTAAGGCATACTGAGCTGGCCAGCTGGGAACTTTTTTGTGCCGCCCTATGCCTCACATCCATGTGGGGGATAGGATTAAAGGTTAAACATACATATGTTTAATCGGCTTTACTTTGTGAATGTAGTACTTAAGGGAAAACGCAAAAAGTTCAGATGTTATGCGCCACAGCAGCGAGAAGCTGAGGTGAGGCCTTACCACTGAGATGTTTGACAACAAGAAAAAGGTTTACTTATTTTATACTTTCACTTTCAGGTCTGCAGAAATACTCTATTCTCTAGCTATTGTGCAAGCTCGTAGAAACCACAAACTGTCAGCTTTTCCATCAGCAGAACATTATAAATTACTGACAGAAGCCAGGAGAAATTTGGGACTTTTCCAACATCATGATGCCATTACTGGAACAGCCAAAGAATGGGTGGTGGTGGATTATGGCACCAGGTAAAGAGAATAAGTACACATAGAAAGCAAATAAGGTTGTTTATTCTTATACAAGCCCTTTCTAGATGTATTGCAGCCATAGCTGATTTTCTTTTTTTCTGCGCTTGTTTTTTTCATGCTTAAAATATCTATATATATCTA